GTAAAGTACGTTTCGTTAATCACTGAAAGAATCATTTTTAAAAGAGATTTGAACTGAGCCAAGGTATTTCTAAAGATTTCACAGATTTCACTGTTTTTCTCAGAAAATTGCACCCGGCTTCTGTATAGCATGTTGGTTGCTTTACGTGATTTCTTGCTGCTCAGTTATTATTTAGTTTTGTTACTCACTGAGTTGGAGTACTCACTTTACTCCCTGCACCTCGCGTGCAGATGCAGGTATTGTTCACCCGGTAGTGGGTTTTGAGCTGGTTGAAGGTATTGCTATCTTAGCTGAGCAGAGTGACCGCCAGCGTTCGCGGCACCGGATTACTTCCTTTGGTTCTAAATTTTATTCTGTATATTGTTGGCCCTGTAGTTGTATTTAGGCTTCTCTAGATGCTCCTGACTTGTGACACCCCGGTCGGGCTGTGTTGGGTTGTAAACTTCGTTAATTAATGTCCTTAAGTCGTATTTTGCTATTCATTTATGTTTAACTACTTTGAAAGGGACTATTTGGGTTAGTTGGCTGGCCTTGTCTTCACGAGAGGCGCCATCACGACTAGTGCGGGGTTTTGGGTCGTGACACTTGAGAAAGAACTATTAGTCTTAAAAAAAATCCAACACGTTATTTATTTGGGCTATAAAATTGGTCTGAAAAACAAAAGAAGTTTTGGGCTCCTAATTGGTCGAATTTTATGGCATTTTTCCGTTCTTCAAATTAATTCTTTTGAGCTTCTATTTAGATAAAATATTTTAATAATCATACTATATAATACTAGATAATATTAACATATGAAAATATCCCTTATACTAATATAACTAAAAAACTATAATATTCTTGGGATAAATACTTATAAAACGTATGATTAAAGAAACATTAATATTTTACTAAATAAAGAAGAATGACATGCTTTTTCACAAAAGGCGATAAGAATGAATGAACGAGTGCATAATAATAATAATAATAATAATAATAATAATATAGTAGATAATAATAGTAATAACAATTTAACAATAATAATAATAATAATAAATGAAAAATAGTAGTGAAAAATAAAGTATTTGATGTATTAATGACGTACAAGCTCAAGAAAATTAATTGGAAGAAATGAGGGACAAAATTGGATGCCAACATATTTAACAGCCTTGAATGTGGTTTTACATTATTGACATCTATTAATCTCAGATCTAGGATTTATTATATTTAACTAGGATTTGCCCATTATCATCTTATTTAATTAGTTTAACAAAAAGGCTTAATATTTTTTTGTTAAACAATTTGGCGCCGTCTGTGGGGATTTCCTAGTTAAAATTTTAGTTTCTTCTAGATCTAAAAAAAACATACAAAACCTTGCGAAATCCCGTATTTCCTTGTTTGCACAAATCTGACATGGCAGGCAACGGAGAAGAAAAGAGAAAGGCGATAGCCGACCTCACCGCCAATCTCCTCGACACCATTAACAAAGTGAACGAAGCGGAGGATGAAGACATAACACCAAACACCTCTCCATGCGAAACAGCTCGCCTCCACCTCTCGGTAGTGTCACGGCCACGCATGGCAAGGGCGCCTCTACATCTATGACAGAAGAGGCTCCACCAGCAGTGAAAAAGTTACTTGAGGCATGGTTGACAAATACGCTAACAGGCTTCCTCGACAAGCCCGCCCGGGGGCCGAATAGGGAAGAAACAAGAGCTGGTATCGCATCAGTAGTTGACGAACAACACGCTCCCCCCACATCAGGTATTACTCATAATGTTAGTGATGCAGGTAATGACACCCTCACAGTCATTTTGAGGAAAATAGAGGAGATGGAGAACGAGAACAAAATGTTCCTTCGCCAAATGAAAGAGCACCAAGAAAGGATAGACAAAATACCAGGTGCCCCAAAACTTCTGCCAAAAAGAGACGCCGGTCGCTTTGTCGAGCAACTATATAGCGACGAGGATGCACCACATGCCATACCAAAGACCTTCAAAATGCCGCCATACTTGAAAATATATAACGGCATGACGGACCCGGAGGATCATGTGACCCACTATGTCACTGCAGTAAAAGGCAATGACCTCGCAAAAGAACAAGTATCATCCATATTGCTGAAGAAGTTTGGAGAAACCCTAACCGGTGGAGCCCTGACTTGGTATTGACAGTTACCTACGCGCTCCATAGAAACGTTCGAGGAAATGGCAGACAAGTTCGTCACCGCCCATGCCGGGGCCAAAAAAGCAGAAGCGAGGGTGAACGACATATTCTCTATTAAGCGTTCGCCTGGCGAAGGGCTCAGGGACTTCCTCGCCCGGTTCAACCATGTAAGAATGACCCTTCCAAATGTATTTGAAAGAATGGCGGTAGTCGCTTTCCAGAATGGGCTAAGCAGGAGTGGGTCGTGGTCGACCAAAAAGTTGCTGAGCCGACTTATGAAATACTCTCCAACCACTTGGGACGAGATACACAACACCTACTGTGCTGAGGTAAGAGCCGACAAGGACGATCTTAGCGGACTTACCCAACGTCTGACCTCGGTCCAAATGGAGTCTAGGAAAGACCGAAGAAACGACAGTAGGAGGGATCTAGCGGGATCCCGACCTAATCGAGAAAGACATCAGCCTTACGTCAGAGGAACCCTCATGCCGCCCCACTCCACGATGAAGGTCCATCCAGTCCACGAACGGGAATCCCCCGAAATGAAAGAGGTATGCCCCATTTATTATCAGCTCACAATTTTTGTGTTTTCCCCTCAGAAATAGTCTACGCACTGGAGAAGCTCGGCTCAAAAGTGAAATGGCCGCAGAAGATGAGATCTGACTCGAGCACAAGAAAGTCAAATGCCCTCTGCAATTCCACCAGGAACGGGGATATAAAACCGAGGACTGCATCGCCCTTAGACAGGAGGTCGTGAACATGCTTAACCAAAGGCACTTGAAAGAGCTGATGAGCAATTGTGAGAGGGCCAACTTCGCCTGAGGGCGGAAACAACACCAGGGACCGCCCAAACCATATTCCCCAGTTCGGACCATTCAAATGATCATCGGAGGAGGCGACGACGCATCTATCAACAGCGTAAAGTTCACCACCACCCACAAACTCAAGCGGTCCATCACCCACGAACGGTACGACGAACTCGAAGAAAGCATCATCTTCGATAAGTCAGATACCCACGGTTTGGTCTTTCCTCACTATGACGCTCTTGTCATTACTTTAAGTTATTTCGATAATGATGTGAGACGTATTATGGTCGATAATGGAAGAGGCCCGTGCATCATCCATCCTCGAGTTCTCACCCAAATGAAGCTCGAGGACAAGATAGTGCCACGTTGCATCACACTGACAGGCTTTAACAATGTAGTTGAGCGGACATCTGGAGAAATCACCCTGCCCGTCCTGGCCGACGGCGTCACATTGGAGACCACGTTTCACATCATGGACCAGGATACAGCGTACAATGCCATCATAGGCCGACCGTGGATACACGCCATAAAAGTCGTCCCCTCCAGCTTATACTAAGTAATTAAATTTCCCACCCCCTGGAGAGTGTTCTACACCCGAGGAGAGCAACATCGGCCCGAGAATGCTACCGCATTGCCAGACACTGCACATACACCCAACAATTAAAAGGAAAGGCCGAGGAAGCATAGCAATTACCAAAGACGGGGTCAGATGGCGATGAAAGGAAAGACGTCATTAGAGACCCTGAAATCATAGAAGCCACAGGGTCAACCGTAGAGGATCTTGACCCCGTCCAACTAGACGACAACGACTACAGTAAGAAAGTTTTCATCGGCCATAAGCTCCATGATCCAGGTAAATTTCACCAATTCTTAAAAAGTAACATAGACCTATTTTCTTTTTCCCATGCAGACATGCCAGGTAACCCGAAAGAAATAGCAACTCACGAGTTGAACGTCGTCCTGTTTTACCCCCCGGTGAGGCAAATTAGACGAAAGTTCAACTCTGCAATAAATGACGCGGTTCGTGAAGAAGTCGAAAAATTGTTAGTGAACGGTTCTATCAGATAATCGAAATACCCTCAGTCGGTCGCCAATGTGGTCATGGTGAAAAAGAAGAAAGGTAAGTGGCAGATGTGCGTAGACTTCACAAATCTGAACAAAGCCTGCCCAAAAGACTCGTTCCCGCTGCCCTATATCGACCAACTCATCGATGCTATAGTCGGGCACGAACTGCTGAGCTTCTTGGACGCCTACTCGGGCTACAACCAAATCCTCATGGAGGAGGAGAACTAGATAAAAACCACCTTCATCACCCACCAGAGGACATACTGCTACAGGGTGATGCTGCTCGGGTTGAAAAACGCAGGGGCAAGGTAACATACCAGAGGCTAGTGACCAAAATGTTCAAAGATCAACTCGGTAAAACCATGAAAGTCTATACAGACAATATGTTGGTGAATTCAAAAAAGAAGGAAGATCATATCGACCACTTGAGGGAAGTTTTCGACATACTCAGAAGGTACGACATGA